GCCCCATTTCAAAAATAAAAACCACTCTCTATAGCGACACCCACGTATAAAACATATGTGACCGATTGTGGTAAAAAAGAGAAACCGCATCTCATTCATAAACAATCATCGAGAAAATTATCCTTTAAACAAGAGTTCTTGCCTTCCCAACTACCAAATATCATCTAACAGCTAAGGGCGATGCCGTTCCTTTTCGTACGAAAGGTAAACAATCTCGCCAATTTAAGAATCAGAAACATTTTCTACACGGCACTACCCACATGTAAACTATATGTGACTAGTTGCAGAAAGGGGGAACCCCCACTTCATTTATCAACAATTGTCAACTAAAGCCAATTATCCCTGCGGAGCCTTCCAAACAGGTCTAGGAAGCATAAGAATTATGCCATTTCCAATAAAGAAATCATTTTTTTATTGACAACCTTAAATGGTATTATATACCCTACCAGAATTGGCTCATCTTATTAGGGCATGCTAGAGATACATAATTTATAATGACAATTTAAAATACATAACTGGTTGGTTAATCTGTTAAAGCTTAAAGCAGAAACAACACCAATCTGCTCATAACCAAGAGAGATTTCACTATTGAAGAATATCCACATTATAGTTGTGGTCTCCTTTGTATATGACCCAAGAAGATATATACAAAGAACATATTGATAGCAATAATGCAATAATAGATTAACCATTACAATTATAGTCAAGCAAAGAAGAAAAAGCACATATCAAATGAAAGGAGTAAATGAAATGACAAGGGAAAAAATGAAAGAGGGGATTTACATTTCCAAGAAATAAAGATATACGTAGAATCATCAGAAACAAACAGACAAGTTTCCTAGTGGATGGTTTACCTACGATGGAAGCAAATGTGCATCCTCAATATAAGTCCATCCAAAACTAAAATGAGCTCAATATGCATGCAAATTCCAGCACCCATCATGTCGCCAGTGTGATGCGTCATTTAGAACTCCTGTACATGACATGCATGGGATATGCTAGTGGTCGTAAAAGCGAGAACGCCGCCTTCCAGTGCTGGATAACAAGGCAAAATCAGCATGCACTAAAATTGAGATTTTGCATAAATAAATATGAGAGAGTGCAAAATATATATGAGAGAGAGAGGGTCCCGGGGGGGGGGGGGGTTGTTGGGTGGAAAAGGTGGGGGACTTCGAAATTAAAACATTTTTTTGGCTCAAGTACCTTGTGAATCAAACTATAAGCTGCAGTCACCAATAAAACTAGTGTATGAATATAATGAGGAATGACTTTGATAGCATGAGAAAAGAAGAAGAGAATAGGAAAAAATAAAATACGGTAACGATGTCTCTGCCATCAAAGCATTATAATTATCATTTATTTTCCACATTCTAGTGGAGAAAGGAAATAAATATTACTGACAGAAGAATATACATTGGATTGACTTTTAAGTTATAAGGAAATTAAGAGAGCTGATATAGAAGAAAAATGGTGATCCAAAGAGAGGTTGCACTGGAGGAGTTGTCAGAGGTAAAGATCTCTACGAGGGAGACAGGATGGATTTCTCAAAGCATTAGAAGCTTCAAAAGCGTAAAGCTGAGAGTTCAAAGGAGAAAACAGTGGGAGATATGTTAGAATGGGAGCCGAATCTTTAAATACAATGGAGTGATCAAGCAGTTGGATCTCAAAAAGTTAAAAACTATAAGCCTCTTCCTAATGGTTTGGTATGTTTCACTGGTTATAATAACATGAAATATCTCAAAAGCCTTTGCGTCTACACTTTTTAGCATCCAAACAAGGTTCTCAAATTCACCTTAAAAAAGGAAGGAAAACAAAACATTCTGATGTATAACCAATGCAAACATGTTAAAATCGACGTTCCGAAGGCGTAAATGACAGCTTTTTCAGTTGAAGATTGAAAGGGCCAACTAGTACGATTCTTTGTCCATACGGTTTCTAAACTCAGGGTATTTGCCCGAGTCCAGGGATTTCTCGACGGCATGTTGATAGTATAGGCTCGGTTCGCTATAGCTTCATTGCTTGCTTGCACAGTTGGCAAGGAGAGCTTGTCTTGCCAGCATCGAG